TAAAAATCCAAAGAACGTTTTTTTCTGACACCTCTAAAAACACTTGACCGCCTATGATTCTATGTCGAATTCATGAAACTAAAAGAAAATTCGTTAACATAAGTTGAATGTTAAGTACTATTCACAGTACCAATATCTCCATCTTAAGTTGAGTTCATAGCGTCAAATCGCTAGTAAGCGGGTTTACTCCAGTCTCCCCTACACCTATTTACGACTAATTTTAATTTTATTTCTATTCCCTTATTGTTAATTCTTTGTTCTTAATTTCCATTTCGTGATAATATACTGTTAAAAATTGAACTGCAACTTCACACCAAAAAATTGAATTGATGTTGTTTCAATCTCGCAAAGTGTGAATGCTTGCATATTCCATTGGATTAAAGTTTTCAATCGAGACAATAAAATAAAAGTATTCACACTTTTCGAGATTGAAAGAAAATCATTTCTTTCTGTTTAGTGTAATGATGGAGTTCGATTTTTAACAGTGATACCGTTTTATGCAACTTCTGCATTTTTGTTTCCTCTTCTTACACTTCGTTTCCTCATTTATCTGCTCTTTCTCAAAAAAGATTGTCGAGTAACAAATAATTTATAGCGAACTGATAAATTCTCAAAAAAAACTTTTGAGTAACAAACAATTTATAGCGAATATAAAGAAAAATGTTTGATGGTTTAAAGATGGAATCCGATTTTTAACATTGATATGGGTGATTCTCCGCGTAGCGCACAATTTGGATTTTACTATTATTAATAAATTTTTTTTTAAATTAAGTAAAAGTCGATATAGAATTTTAAAGTTTAACATTCAAGAACGAAATATTCGTGGTGAGCCAGATAAAATAATTGTAATTTTCTTTTTTACAATAAACACCCATGTAAAGTTGCGATTACACCATGACGGTCTGATTCGACCATGACGCACAAGAAAAACTAATTTTTTAAGCAAATTATTATCGATTTCAAAAATTCTTTTTTTCCGAGTCTTTTGTTTTCACTAACCTTAGACTACTAAACTTGTTTTGACGTAAAATATAAATAATTATTCATTTTATTGCAAATATATTATGATTCGACCATGACGATTCTGTGACTCCCTATGCAACTTTCATGCTTGTAACACATATAAAACAGAAAAAAAAATTTTTTAAATTAATTTCTCTTTTAATAATTTATTTAGGAGAGTTTATTGCTGCTTTTTATGAATGTTGAGCAATTTTTCGATTTGATTTTTTATGTAAATTATGCAATTTTACAAAGAGGGACAAGAAATAACTACAAAAATATTAAAAAATAAATTTTGTTTTCCACAAGTGTTTTGTTTTTCTCAATTCTACTAACTTAGACAACAAAAAAATGTCAATATTCATTATATTTATTATTATATTTTACTAAAAAAATAACATTTTATATATGAAATGTTAGTAGGGACTGATTCACCATGACGTTTTAGCACCTTAAAACAGATTTTTAAGCAAAATTATAAACTTTTAAATAAAAACGACAATAGACTTTTATTTGTCATCATGGAAATTAATTTTCCACGTTGAATTCATTACAATATATGAAACTGATTTCTTAAAAAACACGAGGGACATTAAATTTTGCGCTACGCGGAGAATCACCCATATATACAGTTTTAGGCGCAACTTATCTGCATTTTTGTTTCTTCTTCTTCTTCCTCTTCTTTTTCTCTTTCATCTGCTGTTTTTCAAAAAAGATTATTGAGTAACAAACAATTTATAGAGGATAGATAAAGAAAAATGTAAATTTTAACTAAGGGGCAGAAAATAAATTATTGCTCTTTTGTATTCTGAATATGGAATTTCATCAAATTTGTCACAATTCTCCGCAAGTTACGCAAAGCGGAGCTATAAATAGCTGGAAGGAAAATTGGTTTGAAAAATAATCACATTTTGATGCTAGGCATCAGTGAAAAATTCCCGATAATTTAAAATCTTATTCTCGGAAATATATGGAGAGAATGTTCTTTTGAAAAATTTATGAGAATTTTCTCCATTTAATTTGTTATGAGCGACATTAATTGAAAAAAAAGAAATTTAATTTAAAGTGAATTACTAATTTTTTTGTAATTAAATTTAAATAATTGACATTCTAAATTGCGATTATTACTGAATTAAATATTTGAGAATAAACGAGTATTATTTATAGAGAATTATTTCATTTTTTGAGGCACTTTGGATATAGGATAATATATGCCTTGTATAAGTTCTAAGCGGAAAAAACTTAAAATTATGGATATAAAATTCACATGGAGGAAAAAAGAAAGTGCACTTTTTATACACAAAAAGTGTATTTTTGCACTCTTTTCATTATTTTACTGCGTATACTATGCATAAAAGTATAGTTTCAGGCACACTTTTCATTACTTTGCTGTATACTACACTGCAAAAAGAAGTATCTTATTTAAGATGTTTTGGTAGTCATTTCTAAGATGTTATGGTAGTCATTTTTTAGTCATTTAAAATATCTTAATTTAAGATGTTAAAAGTATCTTCGTCCACATTTTCTGTGTATTTTTGGGGCAAAAAGTTTTGAGGTTAACTATGGGCTTATATGTAAGACATATTTTATGCATAGTTTTTAGTAACTTAAATTTTTTTCGCATCTTACAATTCACAAGTATCTTATTGCTAAACATCTTATTGAGACAGAAACATCTTAATTTAAGATACTTTAAAAAACTTACAGAAGAATCTTACTTTTTTAAGATAGAAGAAATATCTAAGACGTATAAAACATCTTAAAAATCAGTAAGATACTTTAGAAAACATCTTATTTTAAGATATCAAATAAGACACTTATTTTTGCAGTGTAAACAGAAAAGTGTAGTTTTCTCTACACTCTTTTCTATAACTCTACTCGATACATCTTTTAGTGAAAAAATTCAATTTTACAATATAATATAAAATATGCACTGCAATCACCATAAAATTACATTTATTTACTGAAAAAGCATAAAAATACTGTTTTTGTTAAGCTGAAGTTACAGAAAACACCAATTTTGGACCAATTGCAAAAAAAAGAAAATGTTTTCAAACTCGTGGGAAAACATTTTCTTTTCGCACTTGGTACATAATGTACTATATTATTCTTTTCCTGAAACAGACAAAAGATACTTCTATTCTTTTCTCTCCCATGTAAATTTTACTTTTTTAATCCTGATGGGTTCGCCACAATCACATATATACACACAACTCGGTACATCTTTTAGTGAAAAGAAAATTCAAGTTTCTGAAAAAAATCGAATTAAATTGGTATTATTTCTAAGACAGAGGTTCTGAACTTCTGTACAATAATGAATTTTGAATCTTTATTTTCACTAAATATCTACTCGGCACATCTTTTACTGAAAAGAATAATCAATTTTCATTAAAAATCGAAGAAATTTGGCATTACTGGTTCAAAGCAAGAATTAATTTTGATTGATTCTTCTCGAAGTTGTCTAAAAATCAACTCTATACATTTTTTAGAGAAAAGAAAATTCAAATTTCTGTAAAAAAATCGAAGGAAATTGGCATTATTTCTAAGACAGTAGGTTCCTGAACTTCTGTAAACGGTTGAATTTTGATTCTTCTTGAAGTTACCTAAATATCTACTCCGCATATCTATAGTGAAAAGTAAATTCAATTCTCATCAAAAATCGAAGAAGGTTGTCATTACTGGTTCAAAGAAAGAATAAATTTTGATTGATTCTTCTCGAAGTAGCCTAATAGTCTACTCTGTACATCTTTTAGAGAAAAGAAAATTCAATTTCAAGCAAAAATCTAAGAAAATGGTCCATTATTGGTTCTGAGAAAGGAGTGAATTTTTATTAATTCTTCTCAAAGTTGTCTAAAAATCGACTATATAGGCACATCTTTTAGTTCCTGAACTTCTGCAAAAAGATTCTTCTTTAAATTACCTAAATATCTACACCGCACATCTAGTGCTCTGTAAATTTGAATTAGTTAAAAATAACTAATTTGATAGCAAAAAGTCAGTCACTAGTTTAACATAACATAGTAGGTAATATTTTACTAATTTGTAGTAACTAATTCAATTAGTGAAATTTGACTATTTTTTAGTTATTTATTTATTATACTATTAATTAGTGATCCTCTACTAAGAATTAGTTATTTTTTATTAATTGCTGAGGCAAAAAGTCAGCCACGATTTTACTAATAATTAGTTATTTTTAACTAATTCAGATTTAGAGAGTGAAAAGAAAATTCAATTATCATTAAAAATCGAAGAAATTTGTCATTACTGCACTGGTTCAAAGCAAGAATGAATTTTTGTTGATTCTTCTCGAAGTTACCTAACAATGCGTCTTTTTGTGAAAAGAAATTCATCTTTCTGTAAAAATCAACAGAAATTGACAGAAAAGAGGTTCTTAATGTCCTGAAAAAAGATTAAGTTTGGTTCAAAATTGCAGAAGTTGCCAAAAATGGCAAAAAGGAGCTGGCGATATTTTCCAAATACACAACAGATATATAAATTGTTGTGCCGTTGATTAATAATTGAATTAGCCTTCGCGAGGATATATGCTCATCTATCTTTGACTTGCAATGAGGGAGTAGAAGAGAGAGAGAGAGAGAAAGAGAGAGACACCACCCACCCCCGCTCGCCTATAGGAAGGTACACGTGCTTACGTTGCTCGGCACTTGGGCGCGATAATGCTGCCGCTGTTGAGAGCGCGCGCGAGTCTCGGACAATATTTCTGCAGCCGACATAGACCTGGTTCCGTAAGTAGGTCAACCCCACCTTCGTTGTCGCGTTCCTCACTCGTCATTCCCTTCGCCCCTCGAAGCCCGGCTCTTTGCCGCTCGGCTCGTTTCGCGCCGCCACCTCCACCATCACCACCACCAAGCCCCTTTGCCCCCACAAGCCCGAATGATCATCGTGTGTCCCCTCTCCTCTCTGCACACTGACCCCCGCCTCTTCGGCGGGCACCTGGCCGCGCGCAGTGGCTTACGCTGCTGAATCACTTTCACTTATGCTGTGCACTGTGTTGGTACTGCTGTTCTCCGTCGGTAAGGGGCTTTTTCGGGAGATAATTTTTCAGCAACACAGTGTAAATATTTTTCGAAAAATAGTGTTTCTTTTATCCAAAAATTGTTCAGTTTTTGGGGGTGGAAAGTTAAAATTGGGTGCCGGTGTTGACCGCAAAAAGCGCGTGGGAGCCGCCTTCCAATTTGGAGAGTGACGTTGTGTTGTACAGGCACGGATACGGCGGGTCTAGGGTGACAGGAACAGGGTGGGGGTGGGCCCTTCAGGAAAAGCAGCGAGGCGAGAGACAACAGTCGCACGCAGATCGCCGTGTTGTTAGGCCGCCGTATTTTTCAAAGGGGAAACCAGCCACATTTCTTAAATATTGTATAGTGCTCTCTCAGTCTCAAAAACCATAGTTTTTTTTCACAACACGACTCTCGACGACTCATTCTTACTTTCGGCCTAGTTCCTTCTTTATTTATTCAAGCAACAAAATATTTATTTTATCCCATTTTCGGTATCACAGGTGTGTGTCTTTTCTATGGTGCATCTCTCTTTCGCGTGTGATTTTCTATCATCATTATTGGATTGCAGTGTTGGAAAAAAAGGAGTTAAAATAGGTGTCGTTGATCTGGAAAGAAAAGTTTTTTCTCGTGACTAATAAGTGACAGACGTGATTTTCTCATTCGCATTTAACACTCACGATAATGACCCGAACGTGTTGTAGATCCTGGATTGGATACGAAGCTGAAACAGTGCCTTGGTTTCACCTTCCATGAGATTTGTTTGTCAGAAACTTGATTTTTAAATCGAAACAACAAGAAAAAATATGTGCTAGAGAAAATTTTATTTTAGGAACAAAGAATTAGGGTGATTTCTTAAGTTTTGTTACAAGGAGTACCAGGAGGAAGTTTTAGGAACAAAATAGTGGTGTTTCTTTTTGTTTCTTTTTGTTTTTTTAATAGTGAGAGTGGTTGTGTGCAGAAAGTTAGTGCACATTTATGACCCGAAATAAAAATTGTGGTGTGTCACTCTTTCAGGGGTGATATGTTATTGGAGATGGAGCAACATTCGGGCCTGATATCCCTGAACATGTCGCCATTCCAGTTGAGCCCTCAGGGCAGTCCCCAAGGTGCTGGCACTGGTCAGCAACAGCAACAACAACAGCAGCAACAACAACCCCAACACGCGAGTCAGTATGGATCCTCCCCCTATGGTAATTGTGCGCAAAGTTCGCCATCAAATATGTGTCATCCCCAACAAAATCAGCAACAATCCCAAATGTCGAGTCACAACCAATCGCAGCAAAGCGGAGGTGGCGGTATGTCAGGTTTTGAGGCGGCATTCTTTGACGCCACGAGCCTCGAGGAACGTTGTCCAATGTGCGGTGATAAAATGTCCGGCTATCAGTATGGTCTCTTAACGTGTGAATCTTGCAAGGGTTTTTTTAAGCGCAATAGTTCGCCATGTAGCAGTAAAAAGGTCTACACATGTCTATTTTCGCCAACAGGCGGAGGCAGCTGTGGTACATCGTCGGCCTTGGAGGGTGGCACTTATGCCGGTGGTGGCAATACCGGCGGCGGCAACAACAATAATAACAACAATAATGCCGGTAATGGTGCAGGAGGTGGCAATAATGCTGGACCAACTGGTGCCGGCGCCAGCGGGAACGTTGCCATTCCTGGTGCACTTTGTCATCCGAGTCTAGCACAGGCGGGTGTGGGTGTCGTGACCGGTTCCATTCCTGGACCATCGGACTTTCCTGATACCAAGGACGTCATCGAGGAATTGTGTCCTGTGTGCGGCGACAAGGTGTCAGGTTATCACTATGGATTACTCACTTGCGAGTCCTGCAAAGGATTCTTCAAGAGGACGGTCCAAAATAAAAAAGTCTACACCTGCGTTGCTGAGAGGTCCTGTCACATTGATAAGACACAGAGGAAACGATGTCCGTTCTGCCGGTTTCAAAAGTGCCTTGAAGTTGGCATGAAACTCGAAGGTGAGTCCATTTTTTCTTTTCTCTCTATTAATTCCTCTAATATTTTCTCGAATCACTAATATTCTCCCCACTATCAATTCTCGGCGAACCAAAAGATCAAAATAGCCATGAGAAACAGAATCAGTGAGTCACTTTTTAGGAATCTTTCATTTTTCCATAGAAATATTTTCACGAAACAAATAAATATTCAAAGACGGTTATAATACTGCAAAAGTGGAAAAATATCCGGAATTTCTCATGTCTGTTCATAAATAAAAATTCCCCTGTCACAGTTTCTCTAAGGATATCAAATTTAGACAAAAACACGTTTTGATTCGTTTTTTGTCTCAATTTCATATCTGCAGAATAACTATAATGCTTAAAAAGTAAAAACATCCAGATCAAAATTTATTATATCTGTACATAAAACTTTCACACCCTCAGAGAAAAATTATGTTTGAATAAAATATTTCCAAAGTTAATAATTAGACTTGCAAGTAGTTTGTTGTAAAGTAATTCAAACAAATTAAACTTGAGAGTATATTTGAACTGTAGCCAAAAATGCGGATCAAATCATGAATTGATCCTAATTTTTAGTACATTTGATAATAATTTGATAAATTAATAGTTAGTGTTTAATAATTGTATATAGATAAGTGTTCTATTTTTATGCATAAACCTAAGTTTAGAGTTATTTTAAACAGTTTATTTAACCTAAAAGTATTTATTTCTAGTAAACAAATATTTGACACAGTTTAATACGATCCATAAGTTTTGAAGTTTTAAATGAACGAAATTTTTTCGACAGTGTAAATATTTCCAAAGAACTGTTTTGTTATCTGTTTAGCAATGCATTTTGTCGATTCAATCAAAATTCGGTTGTTTTAAACAATTTTTAGTTGTCTCAAAACAAATCTTTATTGTTACAACAAATTTTGGTCGCCTCAAACAAGTTTCAATTGTTTCAAACTAATTTTTTCTCTAACTGCAACAATAAAATGCGTAACTTTTCAAAAAAGTCCCTAAGCAATAGTTTGAATAGCGAAATTGAACAGCAACAAATAGAAAATACTTATTTACTAGCAAAATTTTAATAAAACACATTTTTAAAAGAAAACTACGAAAGGGGAATAGGTGAGCAAAATAGAAAACTACTAAACTCTTTAAATAAAAAGCCTCCAATAAAAATACTCTTAAAAAAAAACCAAAAAAAAAAAGAGTAGAAAGCTATTTAATAGAAAACTATTTAATAGAAATTCACAGTCACTAGAAATTCCTCTATAAACAGACATTAGGAAAGCTTGCGCCATTTTTCTAAATCGAAATTAAGATCCATTTAGATACAATAATAAATGAATCAATTGAAAAATTCATTGGTTAGAATCAAAAGAAAATGTCATTATTGGAGTAGACATCTATCACTTTTCTAAATGTTAAATGAAACTCGTGGATATATTCCTTTCTAGATAGGTTCGTGAACGTCTGTTTTACATATGTTGCACAATACGTGTTCATAAACATAACCCATATAATGGAAAGAATTTATGAGTTTCTTTTTCGATTCGGAAAAGTGACAGGTGACTATATGTATACGCTAAAACTCACTCGGTAAATTTTAAACTCCTGAAAATGCCGCTTTTAAAAATTAATGACGTAAAAAGTCCACTAATTGACACAAGTAATTTTTTACAAATAAAGTAATTTTTGTTAACATTAACATTTTTTTCTGGCCCTTTGCAGTAATTTGACAGCAATTAAAAAAATTAAATGGAAAAACTTTTCTAATTTAATTTAATTATGTATAGCTACGAGTTACTAGTCACTATAGAACTACTATAGTTATTAGTTATTAAAAATTAGAGTTAAGAGTCAAAAATTTAGAAAATTAAAAATTTTTTTAGACAGTATAGAAATTTTTGCAAAAGGAGAAAAAGTGCGGAATTTGCCAAACTGATGATTCTTTTGTTGATTTTAGATATTTTATAACAAATTTTTTTTCTATTTTGTGAATAATTGGTGTGTTTTTTCTCTATTTGTTATTTTTACAAGCGCAAAAAAAGGTTGAGTGAGAAACGAGTTCCAATAATAAAGCAAATACAGTATAGTACAACAGTGGAATAGTCAATAAAAGCTGTGTACGTTACATGCCAAAAGGTCAAGATGTCAAAGTAGGTCGTAGAAATTATAAGCCAAATTGTAACAAACTTAATTGGTATCGTTGAACATTTAAAAGTTTTTTTAAAAATTAACTATTTGACAATTTTCCACTGTGCAATATTTCGAAAGCTAATTGAAAATTATTTGAAACATTCTCAAAATATTCTCAAAATTGTTGCGAACAGCCCTTCATGAATGGATTTAGAAAAAAAGTTTGAAACTTTGAATTTCTCAATGTTTTGAATATATATTCAAAACATTTAGATTTAGTTTAAAATTTCGATTTTCATTTTAAAATTGATTTTAATTGTTCGAAATTGTCTTAAAAATAATTTTTAATTGAAACGTTATTTGAAATATTTAAAACAGAATTTAAACGATTTGAAAAAATTGAAATAATTTTTAATATGAAATATATTGTTTAGAATTATTGTTTCCAATGTTTCCAATCTTTCAAATTGTTTAGAAACTTTTCTAAATGTTTATAGGTAAAACTTTCCTAATTATTAAAAACAGTTTAACTTTTCTAAATATTTAAAAACACGTTAGAAACTGTTTCACAGTATTTGAAACCTCTTTTAGAAATTGTTTCAAAATATTTTAAACTGTTTTAAATTATTTAAAATATTTTAAACTGTTTTAAATTATTTAAAATAGGGTAGAAATTATTCTAAATTGTTTAAAACATGTTATAAACGGTTTAAAACTGTTAAAAACCGTTTAAAACTGTTAAAATATGTTAGAAACTGTTTACAACACGTTAGAAATTGTTTTAAACTGTTTTAAACTTTTTAAAAACAGAAAAATTATTGAAAACTTTTTAAAACTTGTTAAAAATTATTCTAAATTATTTAAAACATGTTAAAAATTGTTATAAACTGTTTGAATCTTGTTAAAAATTTGGTAAAAATGAATGTAAACTGTTCTAAAAAATAGATTATTTCAAATATTTGAAATGCAACGTAAAAAATTAATTGTTAAAAATTAATGTTTAAAAAGTAGATCGCTTTCTAAAAACAACATTAAATAATTTTCACTGATAATTTAAGTCAACATAAAGTTACGTCAATACACATACACGCACCAAAAAAAAGAAGAAAGAAATGTAGTTTCATAAAATTTGGATGTACACTGTTTAATGATAGATTGATCTTGTTTGAATTGACATGACTGACAAGTGTTACAAGTATAAACATTTAAAAAATATTTCTTCACATTATAATTATATAGAAACGGGTGTTAAAGAAACGAGATGATTCTCACGAACTTTTTAAACAAAAAAACAACTTTTTTTTCATCTTATTTCGTAAATATTGTTTTAAACTTTGAAATAAAAAAAAGAAAAGTTAACAAAAAAAGGAAAATAATTTTTTGGGGTAATAATATGTCTCAATATCACGCGATATCTCTTGAATAGAAATATAATGAATATATATATGAAATGTCCCTATATTGACATCGACTTAAATGGCGACAGTTATTGCAAAATATATTAAAAACTTTTCATAATCTCCATTGGAAAGCATATAAAATATCTTTTGACTGCGCTTGGCATGGCATTGAGAATGTAATTGTCGAAATCGATTTCTATTACGAGAAACCACATCCACCTACGCCCTTTTCGGCACACACTAACATTGGTTTAAAAATATATCTATAATTCTTTGAGAGATTCGATCCCTCTCAACTTATGAAATTTAATAGTAATCTTCTCTTTTCTTTTATGAAGAAATCGAAAGAGAAGTCAATTTTAAAATAAAATGAAAATTAGCCTTTTTAGTCCTTTTGTTTCCTCAAAAATTGAATTCTAAAATTTATCAATATTCAAAATATTTTTAAACATAACCAACAATAATAAAACTATTTCAAATACTTTAAAAAATAAAAAGAAACAATAGAAATATTATAAATATTAAATATTAATTGTAAATATCAGAAAAAGGAAATAAATAAATAAAGTGAAATAAAAATGAAAAAATAAAGAAAGGAGAAAATATTTGAAAAATAAAAGATTGAAGAAAGAAATAAAGAAAATAAAAATAATTAAAAAAAATTAAAATACAGAAGAAGTGAAAATTGAGAAATTAAAAATTTTGTAAATAAAATCTACATATTTTTAAATCGAAAAATATTTCGTAAAGAAAATTTCGAAAAAAAAGAATTTATGCCCCAATTACTAATCTTTTGGAATATTTACATTCCGTAAGATAATTTTCAGTTTTAAAGAAAGGAATAAAGATAGAATTTTAATTTTCCATCATTTCGAATTATATTTGATTTTTTAAAGAAAAATAAAAATACAAGTTTGCACAATAAGCAATATATATTTATACACAATATTTTTAGAATTGAACTATTATTTTTAATTCTTCAACACTTTTAGAATTTAATAAAAAAGAGTTAAATGAAATTATTTTTCAGCTAGAAAAAAGGATTAGGTAAATAAAAAATTTTTTTATCTTTAATAAAAAAAGAATTAAATAAAATTTTTTTTAGTTTTAATAAAAAAAATGTTTTTATTACAAAGAAAGAGTGTTTTCATCGAAATACACAATTTATTGTGTGACCTAAATATTTTGAAATTATTCTCGATTATGTAATTTCGTAAAAAAAAAAAAAAATAAAAAATCTATTACTTTTAATTTTTTTCCGTCACTTTTAAAATTTAATAATTGTTTTAATAAAAAAAAATAAATTTTTCATTAGCAAAAATACAAAAATTATTACTTGACCCAATTAAAATTATTCTCAATTGCGCAACTTTGTCTAAAAAATAAAAATATACTATTATTTCTAATTTTTTGCTTCTTTTGGAATGTTAGCTTCAATAAAAAAAAACAGATTTTTTATTATAAAATTACAAT